AAGACAAAACAAATAACTCTTTCAGAATTTAGTTAAGTGCCAACTACCAATATCAAATTATTTGTCCAACTCATCACGTGATCCTCTCTCAACTTCCATTAGTAATTAGTAAATGATTATAGATACATTTAGTTCAAGACATTGACAGCATAACAATGTTGATGTATAAGATGCAGCATAATAGGTGTGGAGCTGTTACTGAACACTCTGATACACTCTGATAACGATGTTATTCTTTGAGGGACCCACTTTGAGCATTCTGTAGATAAATATCGTATAGCTTCAAGTGTCTGAGCATAACTGGTAACCAGGTGAGAAATTTAGGATGTATGTGATTGATGACATGCAATCTGCTATCTTGAGCAGAGCTGAAAGAAAAAGATATTTCTTATGACCAAGAGAAAACCTAACAGCTGACAAAAGACGATTTAACACAACAATATTTAAGCCATAATTCGCTCGCACTTTTAGAAGAAAGCCAACAGCATAACTTTTACTTTGAAGGCTGATACTCATTAACCCTCTAACAATGTCAAGAAAGCCACTTAGTGTAAGAAAGTCACTTAGTATTTACTTCTAGCAGAATCCTAATGTGTCTCTTTTTATCACTTCTGCTCCTTTTTTAATTAAAAGGGAAATGCTTGATTTCTTCTTGCCTGGTGGTCATTCACATCATTTTGGATTAACGTCATCTGTATCCTGTACATTTATTACAAAACCAACCTACAAGAACAATTTTTCTTAGTCTATCAGCATTTCCTAAAGGACTAAACACAAAATCGCCACCTAGTTCCATGACCATTTCTAAAAATATAGGCTAAACTGGCTTTTTCAGCACACTACACTCTCGTCATTCTTTATTTTTTTTAAGAAGATTCTTTTATAATTCTTTAGAAATTGACATCCAAATTGAAAAATCAAGAAATATGCACAAGTATCAAGGGTACCATAAATTCTGGTGAATGATGAGTTGAATGTCAAAGCGATTTATATCAGGCTTTTGCATAGTGGTTCTCAATCTAATTTCCATTGTTGGTATGGTAACAAAATGCTTCCTGTTAAAAACTTATACATTCATGGATACCAAAGTCCTGGACTCTGCCACACCACTGTTTGAGCAGCATAATATCAAACGACATCTTTTAGCTACACTTTGTTACTAAAAGAAACAATATTTTCACCAAGACTATAAACCGAGTTGATTTCAGTTTCATGGAAAGACAAGAAATAGGGCAGCCCGATACACAAGGCATCACGCATTCACGCAGAGTCGGGGGAAGGGCCGCACCCCAAGGGGTGTGATATAGACATCCAACCCTAATACAAGCATTAGTGACTGCTTTCACGGCTGAGAAAACTATACCGTTGCTCCAAAAGACAAGAATGTGTTCCAATTTTTAAACTGCCAAAAGGTCGGTTTTACTTTCACCATGTCAATATTCTATGTAGTGAGAGAACCTCTATTGACATCATAGTTGAATAAATTTTAGGGTGGAACATGAATCTGTTTACCTGTTTGATCCATCGTCAACATTTGATATAGTGAATGATTCCAGAGACTTGTTGGGCAAGTCAAAAATATCAAGACTTAGTTGTTTCCCCATGTAATTGATAGGAAGAAGAATGAAAACCCCAACGACGACAGCAAAGGCAAATACTCTAGCACTGTTGAGATATGGGAAACCAGATTAGCTCAAGACAATGCAATCAGGTAAAAGAAAGTAATGAACCAGATTAAGATACAAAATGTGGGGTTCTGATTTTGAATGAATACTTTAATGTTAGTTTTGCAATATTCGAAGCATAGAGTTGTTTTTTTCCTTTTCTTCAAAATAAGGTGTTAGAAGTGTTAAGTTGTTAAAGTTCGATATTGTCTGATATTGAAAAACTATCACCTATAAGAAGGTGCTTCCTGTTACCATACTAATCAAGCAACATACTCTGCTGATTTCCTCTTATTTCTCACAGGGATATGAAAGCATCTAAGGTCTTGGTGGAAATTTAAAGACTCCATCCGTTTTAAATTAAATGAGGTACTTTCCATTTTAGTCTGTTCCAAAATAAATGACACATTTCTACATTTGGAAATAATTCAACTTTTAACTCTTCATTTTACCCTTAAGGAGAAGCTTTTATAACCACACAAATGCCGTGGCCCCACAAAGCTTTTACCCCTTAACACCACAAGTTTCAAAAGTCTTCTTCTTTTTTCTTAAACCCTGTGCCGAGTCAAACTACCTCATCTAAATTGAAACGGAGAGATTAGCTTTTTGACTTACCAGCGAGGTTTTATGCCGCCTACCAGCCAAATTTCTATTTTCTTTTCATAGTTTGCTGCTCTCACTTTAGTTAACCTTCCCAGTAGATATGCTCCCCTTACCACCAGCCAGCAATTTCTTTTTCTTTTTATTTTTCTTTTTTCTTTCATTTTCAGTATCCTTTCGGCAGCTATCCACTTTTATCAATACTTTTTCTCTGATTACCAAAGTGTTTTGACATTTAAGTTGTTCTACCAAACAGAGAACTAATAGGAGGGCCATTTGTCTTATCAATTTTTCTAGGAGAGAATTGACAACTTTTTGAGCTACTTTTCTGGCAATTGTTTTAACGATAATAGTCATGCCACTTTCTGGCGACAAAGTAGCTCTTGTGTTCCCATAGTAAGCAAACTCAAGTTGGTTTACCATCTCAAGTTTGAAGGGCGTGTTAGAATTTTCAGTGGTAGTGTTAGAAGGTAGAGTTAGAATGAGAGCAAAGTTGGTATATTATATGTTATCACAGGGTGAACAAATATCGTATATATGGTATATTCACATTGATAAATAGGTATATCTTCAACTCCATATTAATCAAGAAACGCATTTGCTTTCATAAAAGTAATCAAGTAACGCGTTTTCCTAATCTCTTCAGTATTTCTCACAGTAGTCAACACCTAGTCTCCATGACACACGCAATACTAGTCAACACCTAGTCTTTTTAGTAACACGTACAAGTTGCCAAGTTACTCAGCATCACTGTAGTTACAACATATGCTGCACCGTAGAACTACAATGGGAAGGGTAAAAAATCACTTCAACATCCCCAACATTTTTGGGGAAGGCAGACAACAACATGGACAGTGATCCTAGGCCCATATGTAAACTTTAGAATAACCTGCCAAACATTTCTAGCTAGCAAAATCAATGGTGTATTGCACCAACTCTCAGTAATATGCTTTCTTTCCTATTCTACAACTGGGAGGTTTTATTGTTGAACAACTACTCTAACAAAGGCAAAACCTGGATATAAAATGCAAATGTCACTCACTGGAAATAAACATACTGTGTGAAACAAAAGCTATAAAAAATATATTATTCTTGTCAAGCCTTCATCATGAAACAGTGCTGAAGTAACCTGAATATAAAAATGCGCATGAAGACAACGCCATCCAAGCCCGAAGCAGACAAGAGCTCTGCTTCTGAGAGTTTCCATGCCCTTGTCACCCAACCAGCAGAAGGCAACAATCTTTCCAAATTGAAATCGTTTGTTTGCTGAGATTTCCCCTCAGCAACCAAACGCGGTGCATAAACTTCAGCATTTCCTGGCTGCTTTCTCAATATAGAATACAATGTGAAGAAGAGAAAACAAAGGCCAAGATTGATTCCAACAGAAGTCAAAAGTGCAGAGAGGATCATTCCTTAAATCCGTTCACTGAACTGTCTGCTTACAGCATGAGAGCTTCAATCCAACAGCATCAGAATACTAATGGCACAGAGAATAAGCACTCATGCACGCAGTTTATCACAGCTTCTAGATAGGCTGCAAAACCATGAAGAATCAACATTTCAATTCAAAAGTGTGTAACTGATTACCACAACAAGGGAACAACTGGAAATACAGCCAAGATATAACTCATGGATGTAGTGAACTAAAAAAAGTTGGTTAATATTTCAACAGCTAGTTAACAAAGCTAACCAGTTAGTTAAACTAGTGATTGGCGGGAAAGTTAGTTATAAGAGGCGAATATGGAGGATCTTTTTTGCTAGTAACACTGAGATAATGGTACTTCTTCGATCATAAGAGCTACGAAGCTCCACCAGTATAAGGAAGGAAGCTAGACTAAGGAAACAGGCACAAAATGGTTTCTTCTTCCTTGGTCTCTCTCTCCTCTTCTTATTCCTCTCCAAATCTCTCCTCTTCTGTCAATTCTCCTCTTTCCTTTCCTAAATTAATTAGACAGGGAGTTATAATTGCCAATTAATTAGATAGGAGTTATAATTGCATCCTCCAATTGGGCAGCATTCTAATTGTTCATTTCAATAAAGCTTCCACTTCCTTCTTCAATTTCTTGTTAATTGAGATAATTATAGTATATGTAGACTTGAAACATCACCATTTGCTTAAAATATACAAAGGAGAAAATAATTAAAAAATAGTACCTGATAATAGAAGTTACGCGGTAACAGGGATTGCACGCAACGTAGTAAATGAAACCCTAATGAAGAAGATAAGAAATTCAAGCTCAAACCTTTACTAAAATTATTATGAGGAACAAGGAGGATGCCGCACGAAAAGGGCGAGCAGAGCAGGAGCAGCAGTGAGTGAGGTTTAAGTAACCGACTGGAGATAGATTTTGGACTTTCATTATAACCGACTCAAGTGTCTCCAACGCCATTCTTACCTAACTTTCCATTTCCCAATTCCGTCACTTCCCCAAAGTGGAAACTTCACTAGTTTGTCACACTTTGCAATTAGTCCCTTCACTTTTACTTCGCAGCTATGCTATCCGTTCACTTTTAGTTGGCTGATTTTTGTCCTATGTGAATTACTTTTATAAATTCAAGAAAAATAAATTTTTTCTATTTTTTATAATTTCGTAGATTTTTGTAGCTTTTTGCTAATTGATTGCATTTGTCTGCGCATGTTTAATTTTGTTTAATTCATAAAAATACAAAAAATGCATTGCATTTGCATGTAGGACTCAATTTTACATTTTTAGATTAATTAGTAAATTAATTTGTTTGACAAAAATAGAAAAGATCACAAAATGACTCATTTTGCATTGAATTTTGTAGCTTTTTTTTAATTTGGAATTAATTAATTGTTGTGAATATTACGTTGAGTAATTAGCTTAATTTGGTGAATTATTTTGTTTTTAAGAGTTAATTTGGTTTATTAATTAATTTGGAAAGAAAAAAAAAAGGAAGAAAACAATTGAAATTGAAAAGAAAAAGAAAGAGAATAAAAAGGCTGTTGATTTTGGGCCATTTTATCACAGCCCAAATAATTTCCCCCCAGACTAGTTCAAGATTCGGCTCAAATTGTCCGAATAACCTAAGACATTTCATTTCACTTCCTCACCCTGTTCATCTTCTCTTCATCCTCTCTCCATCTGAACCCTAATCCGCCGCCCTAAAAGCTCACCATCCCTACCCGCCTCAAAATCACATCATAGAATCTCCGTCCTCTCCTCATGCCAAATCCATAACCTGTTCCCTTCAAATCGCCCTTAAACTCTTCGAATCTGAGATCGAAGGTCAGGCACTTGAACCTTAAACTACCCAAATCCACTCAAATTTGTACCCCACAGTCACTACTCCAGATTATTTGCCCAAATGAATCTAGATTTTACCGAGTTTGGGATCTAGGGCTAAATCTGATTTCAAAACTGGAGTCGAGTTGAAGTCTGTTGTTCGTCAAGGTTCGAAGCTCGCCTTGACAGGGCACTCTTGTTTGAGGGAGTTCGTTAAGACGAGTTTCTCACCCTTGAAGAGCAGTTCGAGTTGGCCAGTAGATTCGCCTCTATTTTCATTTGTTGTGGTTAGTCATTTAGTTTTCTTTCTTTTCTTTTGGTTGCGTTGTCCGTATTTGCCCTCTCCGGTGTTCTTCTTCTCTCTTTCTTTTCTTATTCAAATGTGGTTGCATGATAGGCCTTTGAATCCGTATGGTTATACATTGGTCATTTCTAAATTCCTCTGATTAATCTTTGTTACAATTCCGTGGTTTAGTTTGAATTGGCCCATTAGGTTTGTTTTAATTCTATTGAATCGGATTGTGGTTGTTTTCTTCTTCTTCCAAACTCGTTGTGTGTTGGTCTTTGTTTAGCTTGGGGCCTGCATTACATACAGACGGGCCCATTAGTTGAAGCCTAGAAGATTGTTGGGATAATTTTCAGAGGGTAAATAATATGAGTTTAAATGGTAATGTAGGGAGTTTGGGTAAGGGTAATCTTTTGTAACTGCCTGTGAAGCTTCTAGGAAGCAGGGTTGGGGGCTGTTTTGAAATTTTGATAATTAAGATAGAGGTATCTGAGCTAGAATGAGAATTGAAAAAGGTTTTAGGTGCAAAATTAAATCATTAGGGCTGCCCAAAATGCCTTGCCTATAAAGGCGCTCTACCTTGGTATTCAAGGCAGAGGGGAGGAGATAAAAATTGGGCAAAAACTGAAACAGCTAAAAAACTCTTGAAACCACATTGACTTTCTTGCATTTCTTTGGGGAAAATTGCTCAAATCTTGCTCAGTTTTGCTTGTTTGATCCTCTTCATTAGTTTGAACTTCTGAAAACTTCGAAATTCTGCACTTGGGTTGGAAAAATGGTTTAATTTTGGGGATTCAAAGATCTGGTTGGAACTGCTGGTTTGGGTTACTGCTTATTTGTTGTTTTAGCTGGTTCCTCAAGGCTTAATTGGTTGATTCCAACATTGTTCCATTGCTTTTCTGCTGTTGCTATCTACTGACTCTGCACTTCTTTTGTTTCCCTTTATTTCTAGGTATTTTCAGCACTATGGATATCACTTAGGTGTAATCTGAAGTTTGGGATTTAGAAATATGAAAAGCTGGTGTTATTTGTAGTTCGAATCTCATTCCTTCTTCTTTCAATCTCGTAATGGCTGTAATATTTAGCTCTTGAACTGTTTTGACTAGTACATTGATCATGGATAGGGTGAGACTGAAGTTTTAAAGTGATCTGTTCCTTCTTTTCAGTTATCAAGTTTGTTCGAATTTGGTTTAGGTGAAGGAATTGTTTTGGGTATATTTGCAGTAACACTTAGGCCAATATTGGATTGTCTGATGTTGTTTGAATGTTCTGTGATTAGACTTGGTTGCTTTAAGATCATGGCTATCCAATGTCAATCTTACAGGTTCTGTTAATATGAAACCTAGCTGAAGTTTAAATTCCCATGTCATTACTTCAAGTTAACTGGAAGTCTTGAAATTTAAAGTTGCATGTTGTACAGCTCTCAAATTGAATTCTAAATATTTTTTGAAACTATGTCACTGTTAAAAAATCTCATGAAATTGTTTGTTGAGTAGTAAGAAATCTGATTTAAAAATCGATTGCGTATACCTTGATGTTTTCTGTTGGTAGTCATTTGGGTTCACATCGTCACTCTATGATTTTTCAGATGCAGCTTGGGTGCTTTAGGGATTCGAAGTCGAGTCCCTACTTGCTAATCTCAGGCTCCTGAAAGTTTTGGGCTCATCTTGGGCCTAAATCTGAAGAGATTTGCAAAATTGGAATTATGTATTTTGTATCGTTTGGGCCTGTTGGTCTAATTCCCTCGTTTGTTTGGTTATTGAGAAGGTAATGTCTCTTTAGGTAATTGCTTTGTTAATAAGACGCCTATTGGTAGCGAATTTGGTTTGAAATTTAGCGTAGAAGATATTCTGATCTCCTTTAGTTTTTTTTTCGGGGTGTGCCATATTAGCCAAATATATAACTTATGACCCTCAAAAGTTTAGTTTCAAATTTCCTTTAAAAATTGGGAATGAGGTGCGCCGTGCCAAATAAAAATCTTAAAATGCACGGCCCTCGCTTAATTAACTTTTAACCCTTAGAAATCGAGGCGTGCCATTTAGTTAAATTTCCATGACCCTCGCAAACTTGAAGATCCGTGGTTGCTTTAGGCGCGCTATTTTTAAAAAATTACCTTCCTAAACCCGGGTGTGCATTTCATGTGACCCAAATCCAAATCCTAACAACGTTAAATAAAATATGTTGAGGATCACGTGTGCATTTCATGTGGCGTGATCCAAAGGCATGTTTTATATAACGTTGGAATCTTCTTTAAAATGAATAAAAGCGGTTTTAAAGTTAATAATGCACATAGGTTTAAAAGTGCTTTAAAATTAGATAAATAGGCCAATAATAATAGTTGAGCGACCGTGCTAGAACCACGGAACTCGAGAATGCCTAACACCTTCTCCCGGGTTAACAGAATTCCTTACCCAAATTTCTGTGTTCGCGGACTATAAAACATAGTCAATCTTTCCTCGACTTGGGATTTGAACTGGTGGCTTGGGACACCATAAATTATTCCAAGTGGCGACTCTGAATTTTGTAATAAAATAAGTCTCGTTTCGATTGTCCTTTAATTGGAAAAACTCTCTTGCACTACCTTCGGGTGGTGTGCAAAAAGGAGGTGTGACAGCAGGTATACTAAAAATAGATTTTTATTTTTACCTGTTATTTTACGCATATCAAGACAATTTTTTTCTTATTATACCCACAATATTTATTACTCATTTCAAATCATTTTCTCAAATCCAATCAAATATGCATCAATTAATATGGGTATCAAGGTAAATTATACACTTCATTTATTATTTCTTAAGGAGCATGAAAACTTAAAACGTGTCAAGTAAAAGTGAACGGAGGGAGTAAAAAATAAAATGTAAAAATATTTATAATATTTTGAAAAAGTTGTATATTCTATCCTATTTGTTTTATATGCAACTTTTCCTCCTTGATGCTAAAAAATTATTGAGCTCTTTGTACATTTGATAACTCTTTCATTTTGATATTTATATTTTTTCCTTAATGACATTTTATACCAATTGACACGTGATATTGAAGCCAATAATACTTATATTAAGAAGCTCATTATTGTACTAGAGTATATATTAACTTTATTTATCAAAAGGTATTATGTATTTTTTCTTAAATTAAGTATTACTCAAATACAATCATATAAACTAGAAGGAAGAGATTAACAAGGAATGTTTAACTCCTAAATAGTAATGCCAATCTAATTGGAGCAAATGTAGAAAAAAGTATAATCATAATGGAAAAATTATTTTCCAATTAGAAAAAGAGCATGTAAGATCTATTTTATTGTCTAATGTAATCCTTCCATGCCTACATCAATGATAATTAAACTTCAATCTCAATCAAGTTGTGATCAATATATGAATCATCAATAATTAGAGCCGTTCAAAGTCGAACCGAAATTGTTAACTGAATCGAAGCGATGACTTATTGGTATCGGATTATCTGGATAATGGATAGTGAACAGATTGACGGTTTGGGAGCTGATTACTCAATTTTCTTATCGGGTAAACCATTAACCCGTTAAGAATTTTTTTATTACGCTAGTTTTCTTCATGTTTAGGATGCTCGTCTGGATTTTGTATAGTGCAATGAAGTGGAAGTACTTGACTGATCATATTGTAGTCCAGAACTGAAAATAATTTGTCGAATTATCCGTTGGTTTTATCAGTAATAGTTGGATTGTCTGGTTTTATGTCTTTTTTTGCATGCATCTAACAAATTAAAGTCTGATTTTCTGGATTTTTTGTTTTACAATATGAATTTCTTGTGAAGAACAAATGTTACTGAAAGTTTGATTGATTCATACGTGTATGGGTAGTTTTTTTTTTTGAGCAAACAGAAAACATATATATTAAAATTACGTAATGCTTGTTACATCATGGCCTAGTTGCGTGCCTCTTAGGACACATTGATTTCCTAAGCTTGCTAATATATTGCAAGCATCCATTGATAGGTATTTAACAAAACAACGTTGATTGTGTTTATCATACATTACAGAATTAACAACAACATTAGGAGGGGATATAAAAACTTTTTCTTCCTTCATGGAGTTCTTCCCAGCTCGGTCATGGTGTGAGCGACCTTCCCTAAATGTGTGCTTGAATAGCGTCACATTCCCTTGGTGTATTAACGACCTGCAAACATCGACAATATTATCAAAAAGTCTATTACCACATTGTATAGTTTGTATTGCCTCCGCACAATCCGTCTCTACTTTCCGTGGAATAAATCCCACTCATGGGTTGTTTTGAGTCCTTCCCTTATTGCCTTTAGTTCTGCCTCCAAAGAGCCTCTAGCCTGTATGGATTTTGTGAATCCAACAATCTAGTGTCCATTTGCATTGCATAATACTCCCCCCAACCCACTTTGGCAGTCCTTATGACTAGCATCGACATTTAATTTGTATCATCCTTTAGGAGATTTTTGTCACTTGATTTGTAATTGAATCCTTTCAATGGGTAGTGGGTATTTTCCGTAAGAAGCTTGAATTCCACAGCCTTTTGAAAAATATTGTTTATGCTAATAGAGTGTCTCGAGTTGTTTTGATTATTTGCATTCCTGTTAGTCCAAATTTCCCATAGGGCAAAAGAGAGGATATAATTCCATAAAAGCCACTGTATAAGTAATTTTGAATATGAATAGATTGGAACTTGGAAGAAGACTCTTCAATTCAAAAATAATGTTAGATCTTATATGGTATTAAAATTTTGGTATTGATTTGAAATCGTTTGGTATTGATTGAATGATTGTTCAAAAAAATTTCTATTTGGTTTAGTCGATAAACCGCCCAACAATCGTTAATCCGAATCAATCTGCCCGTTGTCTTATTGGATGGCTAACAGATTACTATATCTATAATCCGATAACCGATAAACCGAACCGATAATCATACCCTTTTTTTGGCCATAGATTTTGCCAAGTTTTTTTCAATTTTTTTTTGGCAAAACATGTTTTTTTGGCAAAACATGTTTTTTTTTATATAGATTTTATCCATATTTTGGCAGATTTTGAAAACAAAATTTTCAAATCCCAAAACTAGCTCTGGACCTGTTTTGGCCCAAAATATTAATGTTGAATTTTTTAATAATTTTAAAAATTACCCTAAACTTTTATATTTTATAAAAAAATCCCACCATCTATTATGACCCAACTAATCCACCAGCTAATTACTATAATTTTCTTTTGGACTAATGGATCTTGTAACATATTGCAATTTGACGAATTATAGCGGCTAGTAATTGTGTTATTAGCAGTTGATATTAAAATATCATGTTATGATTTTAAGATAGTGTATTATGTAGTTTATTATAAAAATGATAGTGCGAAACTTATCTATGTTCAGGACTATGACTTGTGATAATGATAATGAATGACATCGATAAAGGTTCTGCATATACAGGATTGACAAGTTTGTTTGTTTAGTATTGTTGGGTATTTTTGATAGTTTTTAGAACTTATGGGTATAAGTTACATTTTATATTTTTCCAAAATAAAAAAGTAAAATATATTTTGAAAGATTATGTCCAAACAAATTTTTATTTTCAAATCAAATTTTACCCAATTCAAATTTTTTAAAACAAATTTAAAAATCTATGCTCACGCTAGCCAGGAGTTTTTCACAATTTTTATACTCGTGGAAACACTAAATAGCCCTTCCAAACTTGCAAAAAGGAAAAAGATATAATAAAAAAGGGTCCTCCAAGTCCGAGTATCGGATTCTCGAGTCCCGACCCGTTTCATAGAGATTGACAAATTAAGGGGACCTTCAAAATCAAAATACCAAAAGTGTTTGTCGTCTGTCGGGACTCCACTCCGAGGACCCTGCGACGATCAGCTCTCAATTCGGGGCTGGGATCGTCTATAAGGTATGCCAATTTCCAATTGGATCCACTGCTTTAGTCTTCCAAAATCCTTGAAGCTCAATGCTCACTTTTACTTTATATATTATTTTCCATTACTCAATTTTGTTGATCTAAGTGGCCATTGATTTAGATCTGGATCTTCCAATTTGAAGCTATTGTTTTTTGGTTATTTCTGACGTCTATAGGGCAAATATCTCATTTTGAATTATTTTAAGGCTGATTTCATACGCTTTAGAATTTCCCAAAGGGATGATCTTGGATCGTTTTCAGATCTTTGGTGGCGTAATTGAGATATTTAAACATGATGGTGCTGCTGAATTTTGTTTTCTGCCCCCCCCCCCCCCCCTTTTTTTTCTTAAAGGGGTTGGATTGAAATTTGTAGTTGCTGTTGTTCTATTGATTCCCAAAATGCTGAAAGCAAAAGCTTAGTCTTTATGTTTCTTAGTAACATTTCTTGCTCGAAAAAGTCTGATGTAATTGCCTGGCAGAATGATCTAGTAAAAGGGACATAACCTAGTGCTTTGTAGTTTTCCTCCTATTAAGCTTTTAATTTGATTTATTTAAATGTTGAAAGAGCCTAAAAGGAAAGGCTTGATTTTGAACAGTCGCAAGTGGAGAACTAGGATTAATGGAAGGACACTTGACGAGCATGTACTAATGCACTAGCTATGTTACTTGAAATAATATGTGCTAGCATGGTAATAAATCTCTGATTCAAAATTTTCTTTAACATCGTAGCTTCTGTGGCCGCTCTGCATATTTTTTTGAAGTGCTATGCTTTAGATAGATAAGAAATTCCTTATTGCATGCCATGTGGAGAGAATTTTGGTATGCATAGAACTCCATGTTTATCACAACAGACCTGGATTGCATTGTGTGTCTAAGCATCCAACTAATTGGTTTTATTACGTAAGTACCTTTTTAGAGTTTCTTCTTCCTTTTTTTTTTGATGTCTCAATGCTGGTTGTCTCATTTTTTCTTAAGTAAAAAGATATTGATGTTGGTTGTCTTCCTAGTGGTCATATGGTTCTGCCGCGAACCTGTCAGGTCTTTCCACCTTTAAAGTGTTAGTTTCACCTCCACATTTATCAGCGTAAATGAGATGCAGAAAGTGTTTTATATTCTTTGATACCTTACTTCATTGTTTTACTTGTCTCTATCTACTTAAAACTGTTGACTATAACCACATCTAACAACTTACTGCTGCTCAGGGGAATGGTTTGGAAAAGCAGCTCCTTGATCCATGCTGTAGTTTTTTAATTCGTTTCTAATTGAAGTGAACTGAATCAAAAGTTAAACTATGATGGGGTGCCTTAATCAGCAGAGTGAAGTCAATACTCCAATTTCAGAGCCCAAGGGTTATACTCTAAAGCCTTCCAGAGGTGCCTTAGAATGTATGGTAAATTCAGAAATTGGTGCTGTATTAGCCGTCATGAGGAGAAATGTGAGGTGGGGATTTCGTTATGCTGCTGAAGATGATCAACTAGAGTATTCTCTCATCCAATCTTTCACGGAATTAAGGAAAAAGATATTCTTATGGAGACATGAGTGGAACAGTGTTGATCCACTTCTATACCTTCAGCCCTTCTTGGATGTGATACAATCTGATGAGACTGGTGCACCAATAACTGGTGTTGCATTGTCATCTGTTTACAAGTTCTTGACTCTTGGAATAATTGAATCAGCTAACATGAATGTGGACAAAGCTTTGCATCAGATAGTTGACGCTGTGACAAGCTGCCGCTTTGAAGTGACTGATCCTGCCTCTGAGGAAGTGGTGTTGATGAAGATACTTCAAGTTCTTTTGGCTTGTATGAAAAGTAAGGCATCAGCGACTTTGACCAACCATCACGTATGCAACATAGTAAACACTTGCTTCCGATTGGTTCATCAAGCAAGTGCTAAAAGCGAACTGTTGCAGAGAATAGCACGCCACACGATGCATGAATTGGTTAGATGTATCTTCTTTCACCTGCCTGACATTGAAAGCAAAGTGTGCGCTGGCCCAGAGGTAACTGAGATTCTCGTTCTTTTCACTTTTTTTTCCAGCCCTTGTATTGGTTAGCTGGAGTTAGGACATTCACTTCAAGTGCACGTAATTTTTACAGGCATTGCCCAAAGCACTGTTCCACGAATGATTGCTTGTTATCTTTAGATTTTATATGCATTTTATTAGAACTTTTTATGACATCAGTTTCATAATCAGATGTTACTTTACACTAATTTTGGGCTAAGCCCAAGCTGAGAAATTTAGCTGCTTCTCCGAGAAGTCCTTAAACTGCGTCTCATGTGATGCATTTTATACGTTTAGTTGTTTACTGACCATGTTGGGGACTTGGGTGTTTTGCGTCCTTTGATGGTTTTCATGACCTCTGATTACGTCAGCCTAGGGTTGATTGAGTATTATATATAGTCTCTTAAGTTCTTGAAACATGAATACTAGTATCACCTTCTTGTATATTGCGACTCATAAAGCCATTAACTTTCTTGCAGGCTGGCAAGAAACAAGAAGACAATGGATGTGTTAGTGTAGAATCCATGGGCAAGTCACCATCTGCTGCTGTTACTTCAAATGTATCCTCAGTCACTTTGGTGAGCGTAGGGGATGAAACAACAGATGAGAAAACTGGAAATGGGGATATTGCTTGTAATGGAGAAAACTCAATGATGGATCCTTATGGGGTCCCCTGCATGGTGGAGATATTTCATTTCCTATGTTCTCTTCTGAATGTGATGGAATCCATTGAAATTGGTTCAAGATCCAACCCTATAGCGTATGAAGAAGATGTCCCATTATTTGCGTTGGGTTTAATTAATTCAGCCATAGAACTAGGTGGTGCTTCTTTTGGGAATCATCCCAAGTTATTGGCTCTGATACGGGAGGAGTTGTTCCGCAATCTGATGCGTTTTGGCTTGTCAATGAGTCCTTTAATTCTTTCGACAGTTTGTAGCATTGTTCTGAATTTGTATCACCATATGCGTTGTAAGTTAAAGCTACAGCTCGAAGCCTTTTTCTCTGGTGTTTTGCTGAGGATTGCCCAGAGCAAGCATGGAGCATCTTATCAACTTCAGGAGGTTGCCATGGAAACACTTGTTGACTTCTGCAGACAGCATATGTTCATGACAGAAATGTATGCAAATTATGATTGTGACATATCCTGCAGCAATATTTTTGAAGAACTTTCCAACCTGTTATCAAAAAGCACCTTTCCAGTTAACAGCCCACTTTCAGCTTTAAATACTCTTGCCCTGGATGGTCTAATAGCCATGATTCAGGGTATGGCCGAGAGAATAGGCCAAGATTCATTAGCTTCAGAACAAGGTTCATTTAATTTCGATGAATATAGACCATTTTGGACAGAAATATGCAAGGACTACCATGATCCTAATCATTGGGTTCCTTTTGTCCATAAAATGAAGCAAATAAAGAAAAAGTTGTTGGTTGGAGTTGATCACTTTAACCGTGATCCAAAGAAGGGTATGGAATTTCTCCAAGCAGTGCATCTGTTACCTGATAAAGTTGACCCAAAAAGTGTAGCATGTTTCTTTAGATTTACAAATGGCTTGGATAAGAATCTTGTTGGGGATTTCTTGGGAAGTCATGAAGAATTCTATATTCAAGTGCTTCATGAATTTGCAAGGACATTCGATTTTCGGGATATGAACCTAGATACTGCCTTGAGAATCTTTTTGGAGACGTTCAGATTGCCTGGAGAATCACAGAAAATACAGAGGGTGCTTGAAGCGTTCTCTGAACGATATTATGAGCAGACACCAGATGTTCTGGTTAACAAAGATGCAGCACTCGTGTTATCGTATTCACTTATCATGCTGAACACGGATCAACACAATACACAGGTCAAGAAGAAGATGACGGAGGCAGATTTCATTCGCAACAACCGGAGAATAAACGGAGGAAATGACCTCCCTCGAGAATTTTTGTCTGAGCTCTACCACTCCATCTGTGAGAATGAGATCCGGATTTCCCCAGATGGAGGTGCTGGTACCCCATTGATGGCACCAAGCCATTGGATTGGTCTAGTTCACAAATCAAGGCAAACTTCCCCGTTTATTGTCTGTGATCAGGGACCTTATCTTGATTATGATATGTTTTCTATGTTGTCTGGTCCGACAATTGCTTCCATCTCAGTGGTTCTTGATCATGTGGAGCAGGAAGATGTCTGGCAGACATGCATCGATGGATTTCTTGCCATTGCCAAAATTTCAGCCTCCTATAGCTTTGATAATGTGTTGGATGATTTAGTAGTATCTCTTTGCAAGTTCACAACTCTTTTGCTTCCATCATATACTGATGATTTTATTGTCACATTTGCCCAAGATAATAAAGCTAGACTGGCAACTTTAGCTGTCTTCACAATAGCAAACAAGTATGGGGACCATATTCGCTCTGGTTGGAAAAACATCCTGGACTGCATTTTGAGCTTGCATACATTTGGCCTTCTTCCTACTCGTCTTTTTAGTGATGCTGCTGATGACGTGGAGTCTACTTCTGATGCAGACCAAAGCAAACCTGCTGCAGCTTCCCCATCAGCACCTCATGTGCCTTCATTGGCCCCATCAAGGAAATCATCTGGCTTAATGGGGCGATTTAGCCAACTGTTATATCTTGATGCAGAAGAACCTGTGCCTCAGCCAAATGAAAAACAGCTTGCCGCCCGCCAGCAGACTCTTCAGACTATTCAGAATTGTCACATTGATAGCATCTTTGCCGAGAGTAAGTTTTTGCAAGCAGAGTCACTTTCACAGCTTGTTCGGGCCCTTGTGATGGCTGCAGGACGGCCTCATAAGGGAAACTTCTCTCTAGAAGAAGAAGAGACTGCAGTATTCTGTCTGGAGTTGCTGATTGCAATCACAATAAATAATCGGGATAGGATAATGCTTCTTTGGCAGGTTGTTTATGAGCACATAGCAGGTGTTGTCCAATCAACAACAATGCCTTGTACTTTGGTAGAGAAGGCTGTTTTTGGGCTGCTTCGCATATGCCAAAGGTTGCTTCCTTACAAGGAAAATCTTACAGATGAGCTCCTCAAGTCACTGCAACTCATCTTAAAGCTCGACGCAAGGGTCGCCGATGCTTTTCTTGAACAGATAACCCAGGAGGTGATGCACCTTGTCAAAGCAAACGCTATGCAGATACGATCACATATGGGCTGGCGGACAATTATATCTCTGCTTTCTATTACAGCTCGGCATCCAGAAGCTTCTGAAGCAGGATTTGAAACATTATCATTCATCATGGCTGATGGGGCTCACCTACTGCCTGCTAATTACATCCTTTGTTTAAATGCAGCCAGTCACTTTGCTGACTCCCGCATTGGAAATGTTGATCAAGCTGTGAGATCCTTGGACCTGATGGCTGGGTCACTTGTTTGTCTTGTTAGATGGTCTCACAAGACAAAGGAAGCTCTGGGGGAGGAGGCTGCTATAAAAATGTATCAGGATATAACTGAGATGTGGCTGAGGCTGGTACAGGGACTCAGAAAATTTTGTTTGGATTGGAGAGAAGAGGTGCGGGGTCATGCCATCTTGATGTTGCAGAGGTGTTTGACAGGGGTTGAGGGGATACACATTTCAACCGATCTGTGGTTGCAATGTTTTGATCAGTTGGTCTTTACATTGCTGGATGAATTGCTGGAACTTGCACCACAAGGTTCCATAAAGGATTACAGGAGCATAGAAGGAGCAATTTTTCTGTCTCTGAAGCTCATGTTCAAAGTGTTTCTACAGTGTCTGCAGCAGCTCTCACAGTTGCCATCCTTCTGCAAACTATGGTTAGGGTTATTGGATCATACAGAAAGATGCATGAAGATGAAATTCAAAGGTAAACGGAGTGAGAAGATCCCAGAACTCGTCCCTGAACTCCTAAAGAACACTCTACTTGTCATGAAAGCTAGTGGACTTCTGGTGCCAAGTGATCCTGTAGGAGGGGACAGTTTCTGGCAGCTAACGTGGTTGCATGTGCACAAAATATGCCCATCCCTTCAATCGGAGGTTTTCCCTTCTAGTGAATTGGGGCTGTTGCAAAAGCAGCACATCCAAGCCGGATGTAGCCCTCTCTCAGAGGGAAGTGTTCTAGTCTCACCTAGTTGAAGCACATCTTGAAGATTCATGTTGTTGACCATACTTTCATTTGGTGAAACTGACATTCTTTATCAGCACCATCATTAGCATGGTGAGAAGATAAATTGTGCAGCTGAGAACGTGCTGGGCATTAGGCGAAACACGTTCATTGAAGCACAAGCTGCAACCTGCTGGAGCAAAGCTGGTTTCTGGTTTACAAGTAGTGATATCTCCATTCTGAATGTTATATGGTGCTTTACTGTTAAAAGAGCCTTTTCGCCTTGTTGGCTTTCGAGGGAAGATTAGGGAGGGGGGTCAACTCGTGCAATTTTGCACTTCTGTAGCGGTCACTTCACTTTAAGTTTGATAACTTAGTTGTTACCATTTCGGCTGTACAATATTGGCTATACTACAAAATAGTGATTGATATTTGGTAGTATGAAATGTTACGGTCAGATTGAACCGTAGGGTTTCTTCAAAATTATTTGTTTCAATTATAAGATATCGAATGCTGATATTGGTTAGTACGCAAAGTGTCTGTTCTTTAACTGTTTAGTGCTAGAGACTACTAATAACAGGGTTATGAAATACAGCATATACAAAATAACATCATATATTACTCGAGATTTAGTTACCTAGTGTTCTCAGGTTCTTTTACTGTCTAATTTACCTTCTTATTTTTGTTGCTTTTTCAGAAGTAGATTAATTTGGTGACATAAATATTAGAAATCTAGGCTCATTTAGAACTTTGAAGCATTTCTTTGTACTATTAAATGAGTTTTTATTTCCTTTCAACATTAGGTTTTGCTTACCTTAGTGGAAGTAAATTTATATCATGAGCCACAATAAAAAACCAACCCTTCATATATTTCTGTTTTGAAAACTTTCTAAGCACAATGAATCTGTACTTAACATTAAAAAGGAACGAAACAAACCTCCATTTAGGTGTAGGACACCACTAAGCACCTAAGGAGGGATTCAATTCCTAATAAAAAGGGCCAAAATAAGGAGAAGGATGGATGTGAATCCGCTTTCTAACGAAGTTAAGGAGTTGGTCCATTCTTGCCAAGATATAAACTTTAGCATCCATCGAGCACATCTAAACCAAAAACGAAAGTGCCTAGATTTCAAATGGATTTACACCCCTCTCTACTGAGAAATTTCAGTCGACACCACAAAAGTTAAAGGCAAAAAAAAGAGAGGAGAGAAGGTATAAGTTAAGGTTGATAGAGAATGGGTAGAAAACTCAGATACACAGAGAGCACTAAATATTGGCAAGTTTGGAGCGATAACTATGCTCGATATAACTGTTGCCATATACTGACGATGATGACAGGGGTTCTTAACCACTCAGCAAGTTCCATCACCTATAGTCAAAGCCCAAAATGCTGAACTTGGATATTGTATGGAACGCTTGTCTTTGTAGACCTTGATTCTGCAGCATCAGAAGACCTGCAATAGCTCCACCTCATTGAGCAATCTGACTTCTCATTACTTTCAGAACAGCCATCAACATCTCTAGAAACTGCTCAATAGTTTGAATTTGAGCATCAACAGCATCAAAAGTCTTTGTGCACTCCTGGTTGTAAATGTGTTAAACCATAAGTTTCAAGTAAGCCAATTAGCAATTGACTGTCCATAAACTGAATTTAACATTACTTGAAGTTAAATACCAACATTTATGGCGTCTTCAAGAGCCTTCTTCCTTGCCCTGGTATTTGCAATTTCAATAGCTCTGCTTCTTGCTAAAATAATCTGCAGGTCAACATTATTATCAGCCTAAATCTTTAAAACTAAATAAATAAATGGCTGACTGGTGTAAATGTCCAGAAAATTTAATATTTTTACCAACTTTCCGCGGAACATGGCCCTCTTGAGAATCAGATAAGAAGCATTCAATATCTCTGCATTCTGCAATACAGGCATTTTTAGTAATAAACCAAGCAGAAATGCAATCATGTAAAAGAGAAGTAACCCGAAACTACTAAAGGCCCCATATTGTACAACACTGGTAGAACTTGCTGATATGCCCCATACAGAGGAATTGTGTACCTTTCTTATTGCGTTGAAAGCAGTTGGATTTCCCGTCTGTAAGCATCTAGATAACAGCCCAGCAGGTTGCCAGAATGATTCATGAATACCAGTAAGCGTAACACAATCAAATGCCACGGCTTTTAAGACGTCAGAATCATCAGCAAGTTTCTTGAACAGTCTGCAGCTGTGATAAGGAAATCAGCATCAGAAGCAACATAATCTGCAAGATAATCATAAGAGATATGCAGATGCCTTTTGATGTTGTAAAGGGAGAATTTTTTTAACACCCATAGGACACTTGTTGGGTCATAGTCAGCGGAAGTTGATAGACATGCGTCAACTTCGACAGAAATTCAACTTCAAAGTTAATCATAGCAAGAGAATTGGAAAGGACAAAGAAGTCAAGGTAAATAGATGTCATCAGTTATCTAGAATTAAAAAACCTACAAAAACAAGAAAAAGATTCGGGGAATGAATACTTACACCGAAACAGTCCGAGCAAGATTTCCAGCTCCATCGGGTGATAGGGCTACATGATACATAATGTGTTTCAACACATCAAAGTTCAGATCTGTTATTTTAGATTGCTTCCTCCGCTTCATAATTGCTGAAATAAGTTAAAGAATTGTTGTTTAACCTCTTTTGATTCTTTTATTGGAAGAGAATAGCAGATTAAGGACTCCCAATATTCCAATCAAATCCAGCTACTGCTTCCATGAAATCCAATTCAATACCCTTGATTGGCTGTAGGCTACAGCCAAGTAGAAAGAGACCATATTCAAGAATTCCAAAAGGCTTGCCATAAGCCCATAATGTGGAATTGCAAGATAATGTCAATCAAAATAAGATAAATGAGCCATGTTAATAGATAACTGTAAAGCTTCTTCACTTACGTAAGCACTGCTTCACAATGTAAACCAGTAGCCAAGCATCATACGAGCATAGAGAATATTCAAGCTCGCTAATGAATAGCTTGATGATTTTAAGAATACTTGTTAAATCAAACACTGAGGTCATTTGAATTACATAGAATCAAGAGAGAGATAAAGATCAAATTTTTAGAGCTTAACATCCTAATTTTCTATGGTAATTTGAGAATGAAAGATTCATCACAATCTTCTGACTTACTTAGAAACTAAAAAAATGTAAACAAAAGCATAGGACATGTGCAAATAGAGCGGAATGAATATAAAAGATTCATATAGCCAACCCTTTAACTAGTTTAAGATTGAGGTTGTAGTTTTTATTCAGGCCATAAGCCCATAACATAGTCCACATTCCATGTTAGATTAACTTAGAAAACAACAGCAGGGGGGTTGG